GTATCTACCTCAGGTAAGTGTTCAACTCCAATGCCTGTCTTTTGTTTGTCTGGAAGCCACAGGTGTGGGTTCAATTCCAGACCTGAAGGGCAGCTAGGGGCCATAGGCTCAGTGGTTCCACCAGGCTCTATCGGACCAGCGAAACTGGTCCCCTCCCCCCCCCACTTTTTTTTTGTCCAAATGATTTTGAGTTTTGTTCCCCATTGTTCTCCCTCTCCATCCAGGATCTCCTACGTAGATCCCCCTCCAAGTGGATGACAGTGGCAGCTTTCACGTATGTTGTTGTTGCTGCTGTTATGTGCTGTCGAGTCCTCTCCGACTCACAGCAACCCCTCCTTGGGTTTCCTAGGCAGTATCTCACAGAAGTAGATTGCCCAACCTTTCACATATGAGGCTACTGAAAATACCATGGCTTGGGTCAGGGGCACCTTGTTCCTCAAAGTGACATCTTTGCTCTTTAACACTTTAAAGAGGTCTTTTGCAGCAGATCTGCCCAGTGCAATATATCCTTTGATTTCTTATTTATAGTGACAAAAAATTGGAAACGAAGTATCTATCAAGAGCTCACTTGTTAAATAAATCATTCTATTATGGTATAATCCATTCAGTGAAATCTGAAGGCCTGAAAAGGATTAAGGCAGTGTGGATAATGACAGGAGGAGCTCTGGTGGCACAGTGGTTAAAGCATTTGCCTGCTAACCAAAAGGTCAGCAACTCAAACCTGCTCCAAAGGAGAAAAATGTGGCAGTCTGCTTCTGTAAAGATTTGTTGTTGTTGTTGTTATATGCCGTCGAGTCAAACCCGACTCATAGCGACCCCTCCTTGGGTTTCCGAGGCAGTATTATTACAGAAGTAGGATTGCCCAACCTTCCTTCTGAGGAGTGGCTGGTGGGTTTGAACCACCAGCCGTCTGGTTAGCAGGCAAGTGTCTTAGCCACTATGCTACCAGAGCTCCCAAGGTTGTTCTTATGTGCCGTCGAGTCGGCCCCGACTCATAGTGACCCCTCCTTGGGTTTCCGAGGCAGTATCACTACGGAAGTAGGATTGATTGTCTTGGAAACCCTGTAGGGCAGTTCTACTCTGTCCTATAGGGTCACTATGAGTCAGAGACAGTGGGTTTGTTTTTTCTGGGGGGTAATGACACTGAACACCGTCATCTTGAAAAAGCACAATATAGACTAGTGTGCTTGTTCCCACCTGTGTGATACAAAGAAGGGAGAAATACATAGGTACAGATATAAAATTTCTCTCCTTTCAGAGGCCCTCCCTGGTCACGTTGTTGTTGTTGTTGTTGTTATGTGCCCTCTAGTCGGACCGACTCATAGCGACCCGTCTTTGGGTTTCTGAGGTGAGGCAGCATCACTACGGAAATAGATTGCCCCATCTTCCTTCCAAGGAGTGGCTGGTAGGTTTGAACCGCCAGCTTTCTGGTTAGCAGTCAAGTGCCTTAGACACTGGTCACGTTGTTGTTGTTATGTGCCCTTGAGTCAGACCCGACCCATAGCGACCCCTCCTTGGGTTTCCAGGGCAGTATCATTACGGAAGTAGATTGCCCCATCTTCCTTCCGGGGAGTGGCTGGTGGGATCTAACTGGTCACATTAGATATTTCCAAATTGCTCTCCAAAACAGTTGTACCGGTTCGCCCCACACCCCGGGTTAAAAGCCTTGCTCGTGGGCCGGAGGGGTGGGTGCAGGGGAGCATCTTAGCCAGCAGAGGGCACCAGAGGACCAGCGGGCCTAGAATGGGGCAACTGGGGGCAGGGGAGCACCCCCAGGGCACCAGGCAGGTGCTGCAGCACCACAGCTGAGGCCGCCCGTTTCCGGGCGGACCTCACACCACTGCACCAAAAGTGCCACCTAGCTCACGTCCGTCCGGGACCTTGTCCACACCCGGAGGCCTCACCCTAAGCCTCCTCCCACCTCCCGGGTCTCCACCACCTTCAAGAGAGGTGACCAGGGAGGTAATTCAATCAGAAGGAGCGGCAGCCCCAGATCTGAGAAAGGGCCTCCCCCCTCCTCTCCCCTGCAGGGCGCAGGTGACCCAACTCGTTGAAGGAAAGTGGAAAGCTGAGGGCTCAGGAGACGGTGCCTTGCGCACTAGGGGCTTGTGCCCATCCCTGGCAGCTCCAGAAGATAAGAACCACAGTTCCCTTTACAGTTGAGAAAACCGAAGCTCAGAGAGACTCACTGAGTGAGTGCTGGTGGCCAGCGCTGACTCAGTCATTTCATCCCTTAGATAATGAATTCTTCCCGGTCAAGATGAGCTCGCCACCTCTCATTCATTCATTCAGGGATAATAACTACCATTAATCATGCATTGGCTAATCCACGGGCTCTGCAGGAGAGAGAGCTGGTGCACTGTTTCCGTAAAGATTACAGCCTAGAACACCCTCTAGGGCAGTTCTGCTCTGTCTCACGGGGTCGCTAGGAGTGGGAATGGACTGGACAGCACCCAACGACAACATGCATTCGCTTCTAACTTGATCCTTTTGCTCAACATGATTTTTTTTAAATCCATTTTCATTGCTGCACTGTTCTCTGATAGGCTGAACCACACTGTATGAATTTATTCTACTCTTGATAAACAATTGAGTTGGCTCTAAATTTTTGCTGTTAGAACAAGCCCACACTGGATATTCCCTTTTGTTTTTCCTGGGCACCTGTGGAAGAGTTTGGGGCTAGAGCAGTTCTCACTCTTGGCAGCTTCTAAGAATCACCTAGGGAGTTTTTTAAAAGGCTGTGGCTGGAGGCCCCACCCCCGGCTAATTAAATCAGAATGGCTGTGGGGGTGGGGCCCAGGTGTAGGTGTTTTAAAATGTTCCCTAGGGCGAAGTAATGTGCAGCGGGGTGGGGAACCGGTGGATGCTGTTTCCTGGGAATGGAATTACTGGGCGAAGAGAATCACCTGTTGAGAGCATAAGCTGATGTCAAACTCTTCCAGGGTGGCAGTGCCCAGTGGCACTCCCGCCGGCAGGGGACGAAAGTCCTGCTGCCCTCACATCCTCATCAACACTTGATATTGACCAATTTTTTACTTTTTTGTCATCCTGGTAGGTGTGAAATGGTATCTCACTGTGGCTTTAATTTGCAATTCTCTCCTTACTAATGAACCTGAGCAGTTGGTGAAGTTGTTGCCGAGACAAATAATGAAAGGACCAGCCAGGGGAAGAGAGTTTTAAGGAGGGGGAGGAAGATGAGGGGCAGGTACCCAGGCCCTGTGGTGGGAAAGAGCTGAGATGTTGGAGGAACTGGAAAAAGTTTGTGTGTGTGTGTATTTAGAGGGACATTTGTGAGTGTGGGGGAGAATGACTCAAGGCACCGTCAGCAGGGCCACCAAGTGGGCTATGGTGAAGACTCTGGCTTTCGGCTGTTATCTGAGCAAGGCAGGAGCGTGGTGGGGGGCGGTTTAGAGCAGAGGAGGGACTCTGACGGTCCCTTTGGCTGGGGCTGCAGAATCCTGGTGGAAAGAACATAGACATGGGCGCGTATGTATTGGATACAGGCAGCGTAAGGCGCAATCCATAACCATGGAGGACGCCTGCCCCCCCCCCCCAACTCACCACCTAGAGGGGAAGGACTATTTTATTCACGCTGTTATCTCCAGCACCTAGTGACCAAAATGGACATTCGTCCCTCGGGGTTTTCACAGGCTCTACTCCACAGGTGGAAACAAGTCAGGCAGGGCCAGGCAGGTTCATTTCTGAGCACCTCAGGCCTGGTATGTTCCTGCCTGCTGGCTCGCAGGGAGGCTGGTGGGAGGGCACAGCTGGCCTTCCCTGTCCCCACTCCTTATCCCTGTCAGTGCACTCTGTGCGGCCCATATTAGGTCCCTTAGACACAGGAGTTACAGTCCCCAGGGAGGCGAGGAGTCGGGCCTCGCCCCGCCTTTTCTTCTCCTCCTCCCACCTGCTGGGAGTGATCCCCTCACCGAAACTCTAAAAAGGCCCTTCCTCCGCCCAAAATCCTGCCACGGCTCCTCAGGGCCCCCAGGACAAAGTCCAGACTCCTTTGGAGGCACGTCGGACCCCTCCCGATCTTCCCACCCCGCCCTGGGAGCTGTTCTCAATGACTCTCCAGTATTTACAGATTCTTACCTCGGGCCTTTCTCCTTGAAGCGTCTTCACTTCCTGCGGGAAGTCGCCCCCGACCCCCTGTCAAGTGATCCGCCTCTAGACTGTCACAGCGCCCTGTGATCCCATCAAAGCACACTTCCCTCTCATTAGAGTCGTCTGTTTACTTCGTCTGTCTCCCCCACCAGACCTTGAGCTGCCTGCCTGCCCTTTTGGTAGGGCCCCTTGCCGCTTCGTTCACGGCGCTGTTGAGGGCGCTCCGTAAACATTTGCTAAGTGAAGAAACACAGGCATCTGGCTACATCACATCGCCTGCTTTGCAAAGAAAAAATGTGGTGATTCCTACTACCGTCGGCTGCGAGGGTGTCCTCGCATCTTCCCAGCGATGTGCACCATCCTTCGTCCATCCCACGTCTTTGCGGGCGCCAGGCGGGTCGAGGAGACGCCGCCCCTCCCCAAGCGCGAGGCCGAGGAGGGTTTCGGAACGTCAGGTGTCCCCGCCAGCAGTACGGGGCGCCAGGGGGCGCCAGAGGCGCTCAGACTGCGGAGCGCTGAGTGGGCAGGCGCACGGGGGTCCCAACGAGTTCTCGTCTGGCCCAGGGGCTCGGCGCCTGATCCCAGCACCCCAGCTGGGGTGATCCGTGCTCGCCCTCGGCCCGTCCCTCGAGGCGCTCCGCCCCAGACCAGCGCCACGCGGCGCGAACCCCGCCCGCCCCCGGCGCACCTGCCCGGGGCGTGGCTTCCGGCGGAGGCGCCTCCGATTGGCGCGGAGGTGACAAAGGGGTGTGACTACGAGTTGCTCCGCCCTACCGGGGTACTTAAAGGAGTTGGCGGCACGTCTCTCCTCGCAGCTCAGCGTCTCTGCCTAGTGGGTGAGAGATCGTAGCGATCCCAACGCTACCCGGCGACCCTCGGCTTCTTCGGGCACCATGCCGCGCTCTTTTCTCGTTAGGAAATCTGCTTGCTCCCGCCGGAGACCCAACTACAGCGAGCTGCACGACTCGTCCCTAGGTGAGTGGACGAGAGCGCCAGACCTCAGGGAGGGGCTGGGGAGACTGGCGGAGACTGCAGGGGGGCGCTTTAGGGAAGGAAACTTGTGGCCCAAATCGAGATTACGTGACGCTCGAGGGACTCTGCATGGGGACATGTGGCGAGGGGGCGAAGGGGCAGGTGTATCCGTGAGCCCTGAGTGAGTGGCTGGGGGGAGTGGGGTAGGGGGTGGTGATCTTGGCTGAAGGGACTTTTTAGAGGGGGATGGGGAGACAGGGCTCAGGGAATAGAGAAATGAGAGGAGGGGATAGTGCCAGGGGAGACCACCTGCAGAGGCGGTGTAGACCCTGCAGAGAAAGAATATGAGGAGAGGGATTGGGAGATGTGCGTGAGTAGGGGAGTTAGGACAGGGCTGGTGGTGCCTTGAGCCATGAGCTGGGGAGATTGGAAGGTGGGGTGCTAGAAACCTGGGCAGTCAGGCAGAGATGTGGAAATGCCTCCCTTGGGAAGCTGGGCCCTGCTCTTACTCATCTAATGAGTATTGAGCTCCAGCTCCTCAGCCCTTGGACTCAGTGGCCTGGGTTAATGTTTGTTGACTGAGTGACCTAATGCCTGCCTCTGTCTAACTGTCTTCTCTGTGCCTCCCTAGAGTTCACCTTTCAGCAGCCCTATGACCAGGCCCACCTGCTGGCAGCAATTCCACCGCCCGAGGTCCTCAACCCCACGGCCTCGCTGCCCATGCTCATCTGGGACTCTCTTCTGGTACCCCAAGTCCAGCCTAGCGGCTGGGCCTCCCTGCGGCCCCAGGAAGGCCCGAAGGCCACCGAGCTGACCTCCCTGTCTGACGAAGACAGTGGGAAAGGCTCCCAGCCCCCCAGCCCCCCGTCACCGGCTCCTTCGTCCTTCTCCTCCGCCTCAGCCTCTTCCCTGGAGGCCGAGGCCTACGCTGCCTTCCCGGGCTTGGGCCAAGTGCCCAAGCAGCTGGCCGTGCTCGCCGCGGCCAAGGACCCTCAGTCTCGGAAGGCCTTCAACTGCAAGTACTGCGACAAGGAGTACGTCAGCCTGGGCGCCCTCAAGATGCACATCCGCAGCCACACGCTGCCCTGCGTGTGCGATACTTGCGGGAAGGCCTTCTCCAGGCCCTGGCTGCTGCAGGGCCACGTCCGGACCCACACGGGTGAGTCTCCTGCCACCTTCTCCCCAGCCTTCCCGAGACAGGCATCGCTGTTGCCATTTTCAAAGTGCGGCGGCCCCTGGGAGTCTGCTGAGACTTGGCCCCCACTCTCTGGAAATGTTTGGTAGGAAGGTGACAGTCGTTGTTCATCATCAGCCAAGCACCTGGACAAAGTCGCTAGCTTTACAAGTGCCTTCTGCAGTCTCAGTTTCTCAGCCCAAAGAGTTAGAGCTGGATCTGTGAAAGGTGTAACCAACACCTTGCTATGTGGCCAGGTGTGAAGGGTCTCACCTTGTTCCACCCTCCCCCAGCCCAGCCAGACAGGATGTTGCTAGACCCCCCACCTGGCTCTGAATCCCGCTTTGAAAATATCCTCACACTTTGGGCTGATGTTGCAGCTCTCTGAGCCTGTTTCCTCATCTCGGAAATGGGCATAAGAACACTTGATGGGGTTTCTGTGTGAGTTAATTGAGAGAACAGGGTTTAGTACTAATCAGCACTCAGAAAAACGCTGGTTGCTGTTGGTGGGCTGTTGGGGCTGTGTGACCTTAGGCAAGTAAGCTATCCCTTCAGAGCCTCTGGTAGGATTATGATAACACATGCTAGTAGATGGCTATGAAAATCCAGTGGCTTGTTAATCACTTTATAAGGTATTATCATCATGGTCCTCAGATCTGCACTCCCGCAGGCTGGGTGGAGGGGACGAACTCAAATCTGTCATTCAGACTAGGGATCATCTTTGCTTGCAGTAAACAATCATGTCTTGATGCTTCAAAAATGTACTCCTTGTGTAGGAAATTAGGAAATGGGGTCTCTTATCCTTGAACTTTCTGGAAATGGGAGGTAGTTACTCAATCTTTTCGGAACGCGAGTGGTAGACACTATGATGTTTAGGGCTGCGCTGGAGAGTGATTGTTAGGAAGAAGGTTCAAAGGTCATGACAGTGGGTCAGGCTGACCAGATTGGAGACTCAGGCCGGTGGCTGACCTCTAAGCAGTGAGTGTCAGGGGGTGATGTCTTAGGCCTGTCATTATCAGTATTATTACTCCTACAAAGTGGTGGTGCTCTGTTCACGCACAAATAGCCCCCATTTTAATATGTCCAAAGGGCTATCTCTCCTGGGTGCCAGGCTACCCGATCAGCTGACAGGAGCTGTATTCTGAGGGAGTCACAGCCCTCTAGAGTCCCTCAGCCCCTCTCCCCCGCTCTTCCACACTTTTTTTTTTTTTTTTTAATTTTAATGTAAAGGCACGACTCGACACAAAAGCCCGTTGAAATGCACCATTGGCCTCCTCATTGACTCCCATTGTGTGTCTTAATGGTGGGCCCAGTGGGTGGGGGCTGGGGGTGGGAGCAGGTGCATGGGGTAGTGGTGCCCTGCACCTGTTCCGGCCGCAGCTGCCGGCCCACGGCGTGGCAGGCCCCTTTAATCCTGGGGATATCGCATGTACAGTGCCCCCCTCGGCGGCTTTTGTCCCCGCTGGCCTGGTGCCGCTTTCACACTTGCCGGGAGCACCGTAAAGGCGTCCGGGGGGCGGGGATCTGTGAGGGGTGGGCCCTGCCCCATCACAGTGCCTAGCACCTCCCTCCCTCTTTGTTCAGGTTTATTTATGGTAATAGATAATGTGGGAGGTGCAGTACTCGGGGCATCTCCCAGTGTTTACTCGGCAAAGCTGAGTACAGCCCTGGGGGGGGGGAGAGGCCCTTTTGACCCCATGTAGTAGTTGAAGAGACTGAGGCTGGAAGCAGCAGTCATTCTGGGTCCCACAGTTGCTGAGGGCTGAGCCCTTCCTTCACCAGGGAGTCTGTGAGTGAGGCAGAACTTGCTTTGGAACTCGTCAGACCCCTCTGGCCTGGCTTGTAGATTGTCCTTGGACTAGGTCCCCCACCCTGGGGTGTTTCTCTGTGGTGCGCTCAGTGCAGGGCTGGTCAAAAACAGGTGCTCACCAAATACCTGGTGAGTGGGTGGGTCTCTCATCTACCAGCACCCAGCACAGTGCCCCAGGCCCCACAAGGGTATTTTAATTCATTAGCTCCTCTTGAATTCCCTTGAGGGCATGTGGCCTGGGGGGCATCTCAGGCTGGGGTGGGAAGAGAGAAGAATGTGTTGGAGTTTCAGAAAAGCTTAGTTAACATCACAGAGTAGGGCCTGGCAGTGTAGTAGGAGCTCAATCTGTATTTGCTTAATGAATTAATATTATGACTTTTTATTTGGAAAATGTTGCACCTCCTTCCCCCACCAAGAAAACCCATAAAACACAATACTAGATGTTTCTGGAATGTAAACTATATCCTCTTGGTTGAGGCAGGGATTATAAAAATAAAGAGCTGACGAATGCATTATCTGGTAGACTCCCCCAGGGCTTTTTTTTTGTTTTTAAACAGCTCTATTAATTCCATAAGGAGCCCTGGTGGCACAATGGGTTAAGCGCTTGACTGCTAACAGCAAGGGGGGCAGTTGGAACCCCTGGTGGCTTCACGGGAGAAAGATGTGGCAGTCTGCTTCCATAAAGATTACGACTTTGGTAACTCAGTGGGGCAGCTGTACTCTTTTTCTTTTTTGATTATTTATTGCATAAGCATTTATTGAGCACCGACTATGTACCCAGCTCTGTGCAGGCCCTGTGAAATTTCTTTCCAACGCATCCTGGGCCAGGCAGTTGGCATGTCTGGGCTGAGGATGAGGAGGGGATTTTAAACACTTATGCAAGGCAGTGAGTTTCTGTAGGCTGTCACAGGGGGGAGGAGGGCGGGGGCTGGAGATCAGGAACTTCAAATGGGCTCAAGGGACGTCCTGCCCTTGTGGACTCTTGGTCTGATTGCAGGACAGACAAGAGACTCAGAAGTTTACAGCAGTGTGATCAGTGACCAGCAGCAGTGTGATGTGGGAGACAGAGGCTGCTGCCCCAGCCTAGAGGAACAGCCTAACCAGCTGAGGGTGGGGGTCTGGGTGGGGAGGCCTGTTAAGTCTGGTCCTTAAGCTTTGTCCTCAAAGTAAATCCAGGAATGACTTGTACTCCAGGGCTGATGATAAGGAATGCCACTAGCAGCCTCCCCTGACTGCTAGGAGGTGGGCTCTCTAGTGGTTAAAATCAAGGGCTCTGAAATGAGGCTGCCTGGCCCTGCTCTGTGACGCTGAACATACTACTTAACCTCTCTGTTTCGAAATCTCTAAAAGGAAGATGACGGTAGCTTCCTTGGGTGCTGATGAGGATAATTGTCAAGTTCATTCAGGGTTCAGGAAGCACAGTTCCCATCCTTTGTCCTGATGGGCATTGTTGAGCACTTCCTGTGTGCTGGCACAGGGCCAGACTAAGTCTTACCTAACCTATCAGTTATAGAACCAACCCCTAGGAGTTAGGGATGAACCAGCTCATTTTACAGATGAGAAAACAGAGAAACCAGACCACTTGCCCAAGGTGGCACAGCTGGAAGTGGCAGAGTTCCCAAGTGAGCCTAGGCCTTGGGGTACCAGATCTGTGTGGCCTGGTTCTTGGCTCATAGCTGGATTCATTGCAACGTGTGGTGCATGGGTATGGCTCTCTGGGGGTCACTAAGGAGCACAAGAAGCTGGGGTCATCTTGTCCAGCTTTGAGCGATGTTCTCTCCAAGCCCTTACTGGGCTGTTGAGAGAAATGGCTGATCCAGCACTTGCCACAACACCAGGCACCCAGTAGGCGCGCCATAAATGTCTGCCGTTCCCCTAAGTGACTTTGTGGCAGTCAACTCCCTCTCGTCCTCTCCTCAGGTGAGAAGCCTTTTTCCTGCTCCCACTGCAACCGTGCCTTCGCCGACCGCTCCAACCTGCGTGCACACCTGCAGACCCACTCGGCCGTCAAGAAGTACCAGTGCAAGACGTGCTCGCGAACCTTTTCCCGCATGTCCCTGCTCCACAAGCACGAGGAGTCGGGCTGCTCAGGGGGTCCCCGCGGACCCTAGGGGCTCTTCTGCTTCTCCGGGCACCCCTCCAGCAGCCTCCCCTAACTCCAGCAGGAAGGAGCCCCACAACTTATCATGGCCACGGAATACCCTTCTGAGCGCCCCATATTGGCTGCGCTGGCCCAGTCAGCTGGTCCTCCTGACGAGGACCCATGTCCAGTGGTTCTCGAATCTCTGCTCCGGAAGCCTCGGTCGGCTCTGAAAGAGGCTTTGCTGGGGCCATCTCCAGCTGACGGGGCAGCTTGCAGGGAAGCTGACCCTGCTCCAGAGTGTTCTAAGATGATGGCTTTCTGTGGGTTTATGTACCCAGAGCTGTGTGGATACAGCTGCTGTGAGCTATAGGACAAAAGCCAGCGGACAGACTAGGAATTACCCCACCCCAGGGGACCCCACTCCTTTCCCCCTACCAAGGAACTCTCGGGCCACCTCTCCACGAGGTGTGGCTAACTATGCAATAACCCACCCCCAGGTGCATCCACGGGACCTGAAGGGGCGGTGGCAGGACACAGGATGCCCCCAGGCCTGGGCAGCTATGTCAGCCACCTGTTTGTCATGGTGGTACCTGTTTCATGGGCAGTTTAACAACTTCTTAAAAGGGACTGTGAGTGATTGCTGTCACTTGTTGGGGGCCCAAGCCAGGGTGCTTTGGCCTGACCAGTGTGTCTCCCAGAACTATTTGGGGGCCCGACAGGTAGGCCTGGAAGGAAGATGTTTACATTTTTTTAAAGGTACACTGGTATTTATATTGCAAGCAGCATTTTGTACTAAGGAAACATTTTGTATAGTAATATGTACAGTTTATTGATATTCAATAAAGTGCTTAATTTATATAAAAAATCTCTACCTGGTTTTGTAGAAGGGTGGGTATAAAGGGTCTTTAGGAGCCTTGAAATGGTTTACACGCAGCTATTAATCTAAAAGTTTGGCGGTTTGAACCCACTCAGAGGCAACGTGGAAGAAAGGCCTGGTCATCTGCTTCCATAGATTGAAAAAACAAAAGATAACAGCCCAGGAAATCCTATGGAACAGTTAGTTGTACTCTAACACGTGGGGTGGTCATGAGCCGTAATCAACTCCAGGAGAGAGGGTTTGTTTTTTTTTTGTTTGTTAGGAAGGGAGCATGGGGCAGGGAATTCTGGAGCTCGGATATTTCAGACACAGCTCGTAAGTCTTGGCCTGGGAAACATCACGTGCCTTTGAGAATCCTGGCTTTGACTTGTGCACAGGGTTTTTCCTCTGGCCCTCGGGCCCCTGTCTATAAAATGGTGGTTTGGAAACACCTCGCTGGGCTGGGGTGAGTGATAGCAGTATGTATGCAAGCTCCTTGCACCCTAAAAGTTATGGTTTTCATTTATTTACTCTCATTCTTGGTTTTGAAGCTGACGAGGCCCAGAGGCCTAAAGGCTAGCTTCCCTGGGTCTTATCAACCAGACAGGCTCAGTGCTTTGTTCCAACACTGCAGGTCTTTTGGGGAGGGACCGGCTGCTTCTCCCAGATTCGAGGGTGGAATGAGGATGTCCTTCCTGTTTCCAGGGCCCTGGGCCCTGCTCCGGCCTCCCTGTCGAGCCCACACCTCCGTCTGGCTGCTTAGTACCAAATGGCCTTTGATGCAAGGAAATTGGCTGGCTGGAGCCGGGAGGGTGAGAAGCCAGGCCAAAGGGTCGGGGTCACTCCACTTCCTGCTCCGTGGAGCCAGGGAAGAGAGGCAGCTTGTGTCCTGGGCTGGGATAATTCACCCCGGGCTGGCTGGCCTGGCCACGGTGACCTCACCTTTAGGGGCCTCTTGCGGCCAGAAGAAAATAAGGGTCCTCTTAGTGCAAAAGGTGCTGAAGGTGCCAGTTTCCTGCACAAGCGTCTCAGAGCTGCGGAGCCCAAGTCGGGCTGGGGGTGGGGAGCCTCATGTTCCAAAGGACAGATGATTCTTCTAAACAGGAAACGGTGACCCGAAGGCCGGGAGCAGCCCTTAATGACTTGCAGCTTTCCTCCCCAAAAAAAAAAAAGAAAAAAAGTTCTCTAACAATCGCCAAATTGTGGCTGGCCTCCCTGAAGGGAAGTTAGGGAGTTGGGGCCGGGGAAAGGGGGTGGCTTGGGCACCACTTTGCTGAAGGCCTACTATGTTCCCGGCCCCTGAGCTGGGCATTTGCATCCGCTCATATTGATGGGGAATGAATACATGATGACCAGAAATCCCTGAGAAGCACGCCTCTTGTTTGCTATTTTACAGATGTATGAATGGCTTCCGAGTGGCCAACCCAGAGGTGACAGAGCTGGGATTTGAACTTGGGTCTGCCTGGGTCAATCACCCTGGGAGTCAGGTGCGCCTGGCTCATGCCCCTGACTCAAGGTCCCTTCTTGGAGCCCCAGCTTCTGCTGTTAAAAAATGGGGGGATATGACGACACTGCTTCCCTTCCTGAGACCAGAGGAAAGTCAGTATTGATGGCAGTCCGTGCCCCAGACCCTGTTGTAGGTCCTGGGGAAACAGCCATGAGCAAGGTAGTCCCTGTACTCATGGAATGTCCCAGGGAACATAACTCATGGAATGTTCTAGGGAGGGAAACAGAAAACAAACAAGTGATTCAACAAGCAAGATGCTGTCCTACAGTGACAGTGCCAAGGTGGGATTAACGAGAACTGGAGAGTGATGAGGGTAGGGCTCCTTCCATAAAACAGAGCCCTCAGGAAGGGCTGAGACTGAAGGAGAAAGATCCAATCATGGGGAGATGGGGGAGGGGAACAGAAGAGGCTGTGAGGCTGGCATGAGCTTGCTTCCCTGAGGAATGGCCAGACCAGTGTCAGTGGAGGGGAGAGGAGAGGTAAGGTGGGAGACCAGCTGGGCCCAGGTCAGGCAGAGCCTGTGGGGCAGGGACAACCACTGGGGAGAAGGTGCCTTGGTGATGCAACAGGAAGGTGTTTGGCTGCTAACCAAAAGGTGGGCAGTTCAAATCCAGTCAGCACCTCTGCAGGGAAGAAGACCTGACAATTTGCTTCTGTAAGGATTATAACCAAGAAAACCCTATGAGGCAGTTCTACTTTGTCGCATGGGGTGGCTAGGAGTCAGAATTTAAACTGAAGCCAACAAGGAGCCAAGGAGGAATCTGATCTAATCTACCTTTATACAGAGATCACCCTGGCTGAGGGTGGTGAATGGGGTAAGCAGGGTCGACAAGCAGCTGCTGTGGAGTCGATTCTGACTCCTGGCAGAGTAGAATTGAGCACCACAGGGTTTTCAATGGCTGATACTAGCAGCAGATCTCCAGGTCTGCCAACACACCTCTGAGTAGACTCAAACCTCGAACCTTTTGGTCAGCAGCCAAGTGTGTTAATTGCTCACAGCAGGGACTCCTAAATGGAGGCGGGCGGGGGGGGGGGGGGGGCGGTGAGTAAAAACAAAAGCAAGAAGAGCAGTGAGAAGGCTGGAGGGGGAAATGAAGGAGGCCTGGCCCAGGGTGGTGTGGTGAAGATGGGATTGAAGAGGGCCGGGCACACCTGCTCGCTCAGTGAGTGAGTTACAGGACACAGGTGGGGGGAGGCGTAGCACGCAGCTTGTCACAAGAATGAGGACATCCCCGTGTTCTGTTACAGAGCCACTGGCATGCACATGGCGAAGTGGAAAAGATAAAATGCAGAACATACTCCCTTTTGTGGGAAGAAAAGAGGTGGCTATGAGGATGACTATTCATACTTGTTGGTATTTGTATACAGAAACTCTAGAAGGATTTATGATAAACTCATAAAAGTGATTCCCGAGGGGAATGCAGAGGGGGGGAATGAGGGTGGATGGAGACAGGAGAGAAAAGGAGGAAAGGAGTGTTTTTTTAAAAAGATTTTTTTAAGCTTTTATTTTGAAAGAATTTCAAACTGACAGAAAAGTTGCAAGGAAAAAGCTGGACTGGTTCGAGCAGCTGGACTCCTTCGCACAGACCCTCCCAGTGTTCACACTGGTCCTGCTCTTTTCTCACTCTCTGTACCCACACACGTCCCACTGCCCGGAGTCAATTCTGATGCATCGTGACCCCACGTGTTTCAGAGGAGAATTGAGCTCATCTTTACAGAAGCAGACCGCCAGCTCTTTCTTTGGTGGTGCCACTGGGTGATTCTAACTGGCAACCTTTCGGTTAGCAATTAGGAAAAACTACCACCCAGGGACCTCACACACACAAACCCACATAGTATTTATTTCTGAACCATTTGAGGGTAATTTGTAGACATGATGCCCCTTTATTGCTAAATTCTTAAGCATGTATTTCCTAAGAACAAGAACATTCTCTCCAATAACCACAGTGCAATGATGCAAATCAGGAAATTAACATCGGTGCAATACTATAATCTAATCCAGTCATAATCATATTTCTCCAATTTCCCCAGTAGTATTTTCAATAGCAATTTTTCATGAGAGTGGGGAAGGCACGATCAAGGACCTAATCCATCATCACATGCCACAGTTAGTATCTTTTATTCTGGAACATTCCTCAGCCTTTCTTTATCTGTGATGAGTTTGACATTTTTTTAAGCCTATAGGCCAGCAATTTTGTAAAATGTCCCCCAATTTGGGTTTTCCTGATTAAATGTGGGTTCTGCACTTACAGCAAGAACCATAGAAGTACTGTCTTTCTTAGTGCAATGTATTCTGACGCAGGTGATGTCAGCTTGTCCACTATTGATGATGTTCACTTTAAGTGTTTGGTAAAGGTGGTGCTGGCCAGGTTTCTCCTTGGAAAGTTTCTCTACTTCCCCTTTGTACTTAGTAAGTATCTTGTGGGGAGACACTTTGAGAGCATGTGAGTATCCTGTTACTTCTCCAACTCCCACCCACACATTTTTGCCTCCAGTGGTGATTTCTTATTTTGGTCCTTGCTAAATGGTAGATTTCCTGACTCCAGCCTTCTTTCTACTTTTACTGGCTGGCCTTCTGCAGTAAGGAAGAACTTTCCCTCCTCTGTCAGAACAGTGGCTCAGAGCTGTGGGGCTGAGAGAGACTGGGGGTAGCGGGTAGCATCAG